AAAAAAAAATAGAAAAATAAATAAATAAAAAAAAAAAAAAAAATTCCCCTAAGCAAGAGGAGAAATGCAAGCGGAAAAACCAGAGCCCAGAACAAAACCCAAGACCCGCACCTCACCATGCCGTGCAGCTCCCCTCCCCTCCAAACCGGTACCACAAGACCAGCATCGGAAAAAGCACCGCCCAGGAACCGGCATCGAAGCGAAGGCACCGGCACCTGCACCAACAATCCCAGAACAACACCCGGCCCCACCCCGAAGTGAATCCAGTCCCGGGCCCCAGTGATCCGAGGCCCCAGGGGCAGTCTGGGAGTCTCTGCTGAGACCACTGCCCCGTCACCCAGATAAATGTAGGACAACGAGCACGAGTATTTCCTTTAGAAAAATTTATGTTTTATTCAGCTAGACAAAAAGTTTTTTTCTACATGCTTCTGCCTTTGGAAAACTTAAATCTTTGTGTTTTGTTCAGAAAGCTCTTTAATATTAGAAACCGTTTTGGGTAAAAAAGGATGAGGTGTCATGCTGAATGTACTCAGAAAGGATTTTGAAAAGGTACCAGACAGTTATTTGGCATTTCAGATGCATTAAATTATAGCCATAAAGCATCCCGTGCTGATTTAATTGATTCTGCAGGAGCAGTGCAACTCCCAGAAAGTCAGTTTAGGCTTTTTCGCCTAAACAGTCCTAAGGACTTAAGGTACCTGCTCAATGCTGACAAACTAAAACTACTTCCATTTCCAAGTGTCGCATACCTAAAAGTAAATAAAAGCATATGAAATCCAACAACCTACTTATTATTCACGTTTCATGTAGCATACATCCTAAATTAATGCTGATGAAGGTTCTCTGTCATCCAGGTCAGAGTCATCCCGTAAAAATTCAAAAAATATCCACTGGACTTGGTTTTCAAGATTAGAAGACATTTCACCACCTCTCCAGGAAGCATTCTCAATTCAAATTTGAATCCTAAATTAATGTCTTTCCTGATCTCCTAAAGATGACATCTCATAATTATATATTATCTCGTAATTATGCGAAAAGATCTTTCCCTTAATTGATCCTGGCTTGAATACCAGTGATGGTTCAACACTTTCTTTCTCAAACATGTAGAAACTAATTTGTCTATATCTGAAATAAGTAAATTCACCAAATGTACACAAAGAAATATTGAAGACATGTTAGTCGTCCTCTGTACATTTTATTACGTTTACAAAATTATATTACAGAATTTGTCTAATAAATAGAGAAAACATGGAAAATGATTGTTTTTAACTTATTTAAATCCATGTGGTTTTTATTTATGTTTGTCACATCAAGTAGTAGTAATTACACAAATAGGAAACATCCACCACAGAAGATAATGCAAGAAAAAGACATTTGTTAGAGTAGAAATTGCTTTTACTGTTATTGAAACATTTTCCCTAGAAGCTAGAAAAAGGCTTTAACTTGTGAGTTTCTCATGTAATGAGGAGAAGGAGTTTCTACACGGACATTTTATCCGAAGTCTAACATGGAAAAGGCCTCTGCTGTTCATTCCTGTGGGATCTAATTGCTTTGACTTGTTATATGAAACAAATCTCTCATTTTTCGATTTGTTTAATTTGTCATGGAGGAAAAATGTTTCTCACATGAGTCATCATGTGCCTAGTCAACATACTCTTTTGAGTAAAACTTTTATCACAAACATTACAGGAGAAAGGCTTCTCACCTGTGTGAGTTCTTATGTGTTTATTAAGGTCAGACTTAAAGTTGAAGCTTTTCTCACAGGACAGACATTTGAAAGGCTTCTCACCTGTGTGATTTCTTATGTGCCTATCAAGATCAGACTTAAAGCTGAAGCTTTTCTCACAGGACAGACATTTGAAAGGTCTCTCACCTGTGTGATTTCTTATATGCTTATTAAGATCAGACCTAAAGTTGAAGCTTCTTTCACAGGACGGACATTTGAAAGGCTTCTCGGCTGTGTGAATTGTGATGTGTGATTTAAGATAAGATTGACTAGTGAAGCTTTTTCCACAATACATACATTTGAAAGGCTTTTCACCAGTGTGAATTCGTGTGTGCTTATTAAGATAAGACTGACAGCTGAAGCTTTTTCCACAAGACAGACATTCAAAAGGCTTCTCACCTGTGTGAATTCGTATGTGCTTATTAAGATCAGACTGAGAGCTGAAGCTTTTTCCACAGGAAAGACATTTGAAAGGCTTCTCACCTGTGTGAGTTCTCATATGAGAAGTCAAATGAACTTTTTGCGTAAAACTTTTGTAACAAATTGTACAGGAGAAAGGCTTTTCACCTGTGTGAGTTCTTATGTGCTTACTAAGTTCAGAGTTAAAGTTGAAACGCTTCCCACAGGACAAACATTCTAAAGGCTTCTCACCTGTGTGAACGCTAATGTGTTTATCAAGTTCAGCTTTCTGAGTGAAGCTTTTTCCACAGTACAGACATTCACAAAACTTAAGACCTGTGTGATTTCTCATGTGATCTATTAAATGTTCTTTTTTCAGAAATATTTCCTGGCATGTCAAACATGGAAAAGGTTTCTCCTCTGTATCTTCATTATCGTGCTTCAGAACAAGCTGCTCTTCCTGCTCACTAATGGGGAGCTCCACGATTTCCTCTTTGGTCCAAGGATGTTCTGGTTCTTGCTGCTCTTCTTTAATCTGAATAGGTTCTGGTTCCTCTTGACCCGAACTGGAATTCCTCTGTTCACAGAGCTGCTGGTCAGAGAAATCCTCCTCATTTCCAACATAATCCTGCAGGTGGTCTGGAAAGAAAAACACAGTAGAAAGACTTTCAATTGTAGGTTAAAGAAAGGACAATTCACTTCAGTCATCCTTGTGTTGATCTAACTACATATAAAATGATTGCAATTACATCTTCCACCATGCAAAGCAGCTCTGACTTCACAATCACAAGTTATAAAAGACCAGTCAATGCTCCACTGTCGCCCTGTGAGATTTGGACCTCCACTTTTATCATCAAAGCTTTAGAATCTGTGTGAACAGAAAAACAGCATATTGTAAACCATTAAAGAAATGTTTAAACTACTTTTCAGTTGATATATTTTTTAGATGACCTCCAGGGTTTACCCTACTTTCCACACACAGACTGCTAGAGATAGGATCAAGCTCAATGTTATCAGCACTGGTAAGAAGAGGATGGATGGCTTGATTTTTCAGATTTAGCTCTCCTCAGTTAAGCTTTATTTTTTTTCTGTACATTTCTTTCTTACTTTTATTTCTGACCAGTTTCAAAATTATATTTTTTGACAATGTTTTATTACTTAAGTTTCAAACCAGTTTTTTTTTTTTTTAGAGTATATCAACGTTATTATGAACAAACTCTCCCCAAAGTAGCTCCACTGATGTTTATCTACGTTCATGTGAACGACATTTTTTTGTTGGTTGGGTCTGAAGATCTTCAGATCCAGTATCTATGTGTTGTGATACAAACACTACTGGACCACATAGCTACAGTCTGAGCAATCCAAATGAACGATAAATACACATCCCTTTAAGACAATGACTCCAGCCAGGTTACTAGCACATGTCCCTTTGAGACAGAAACAAGCAGATCCGATGGCTCCGGTGCGCATCCCTGCTAGAAAGGTGCAGCGGCACGAATGATAATGATGCAAACAGATGCAAACCCATTTTTAGAGAATCTTGATGCAAGCAAACAAAATCGTCCAATGTCATGTCACTTCCACACCAAGTGAAGCTACAGAACTTTCTCAGTAGAGCTCCGTCTCCTAGTTGAGCCCCAAGTGTTATCTGAGTTCAGGCTTTTTTTTCAATGCACCACATCAACCAATCAGCGAAGCTAATCTGTGAGCTGGGAGGGAGACAGACACAGCAGTGCCAATGCAGGGGTTATGAGACTTCCCCGGAAACTGTTTATTAGTGCCTAAATTAACTTAAAATGTCAAAACCTGCTGGCAAATATGTTCGCTTTTAATATTGTGGTGCTTGCAGTTTGTACCATATACCTGAAATACTCCGATATCTTCTTCCAGTCGCCATGAACAGTAGGAGAAAAACTGGGCCTTAGGCAGCTGCTGCTGGGGATTCCCAGTGACAGCATGTAGGGGTTTGCACAGCTATGACAATGAAAAAAGTTTTTAAGGCTGGATCCTAATCTTGATGAACTGATTGCAGAGACTGCATACAAATATATTCAAACTACTTTTTACACACTTAGAGCAAATATAGCAAAGCCACACTCTGCTATTGAGCACAGGCGCAGCAGAAGTATCAGACGCATCTGGTGACACTTTACTAGATGCACTCCAGGAGCATCAGTGATGCTATTAAGACTTTAATGTGTTCCAGCATTAAAAAAAAAAATCCATAAATGATATCTAAAGCACATATTTCATTGCATACTGTTTATTTTTGGATAAAGATCCAGAAGAAAAGGTACATAGATATTTGAATATTTCTCTCTCATAGTTCTTTTTTCTATCTCTTTTAATATTTCAACATTTTAGTTAACATATTCTTGAAATTTAGGTCCGAATTGCCATGGCATTATAAGGCAATTATTTAGGTTATCTGTGTCTCTTTTTTTATATGAAAAATCCTGTGAATTTGAATCTACTTTGACTCCTGAGCATCAGTAACCAAGGGGTAAATTCTTAGAAATAAAGCCACAATTACCAAAGTAAAAGAATTTTTTGGTTCTTTGTTTTTTTTTGAGTAATGAAGATTTTATTTTTCTGTGTCTAATGTATAATTCATAGTAGATCAGGAAGTGTTTGCTTTTAGGTTCGAAACCCTATATGACTAAAACCATTCCTTTATGTAAATATTGTCAGTTTGTGTGTCTGCTAAATGAATCACAATGTGTGGAACTAGATCTGCGATTTTCACAACTTTTGTGAGAGACTTTTGTATAAAGTAGTGTATTCATTCATAAAATGTTTATTTGAATTCTATAAATCAAAGTTTTCTGCACAACAGCAATGATGAACTGTACGGCAGCATTCTATACCCAGCACTTGTAATATCTGGGCTAGAGCTGTCAGTCGGGTAAATAATCTGGTTGTTAAAGTGTAAATGTTAGCTGTTTTTTGTCCAACATACAGTGGGGGAAATAAGTATTTGACCCCTTGCTGATTTTGCAGGTTTGCCCACTTACAAAGAATGCAACGATCTATAATTTTAATCGTATGTACATTCTAACAGTGAGAGACAGAATCCCAAAGAAAATTCCAGAAAATCACATCATATGAATTGATTAAAATTGGTAACCATCTGATGAGGAAAAACAAGTAAAAGTAAGTATAAGTAGATCATTGCAGTCTTTGCAAGTGGGCAAACCTGCAAAATCAGCAAGGGGTCAAATACTTATTTCCCCCACTCTAAAAGGGACTAAAACTAGACAAAGTTCTAGTTCGAAGTTAATTGGCTGTGTTCAGCTGGAGCGAGGAGCAGTGGGTAGCACTGCTGCTTTGCAGCAATAAGCTTCCGGGTTCGATTGCTGGCCCGGGGTGTTTCTGCATTGAGTTTTTCATATTCTCCCTGAGCATGCGTGGGTTCTCTCTGGGTACTCCGGCTTCCTCCCACAGTCCAAAAACATGACTGTTAGGTTAATTGGCTTCTCTAAATTCTCCTTAGGAGTGAGTGTGTGCCTGAATGGTTGTTTGCCCTGTGATGGACTGGCGACCTGTCCATGGTGGACCCCGCCTCTCGCCCGTAGACAGCTAGAGATAGGAACCAGCACCCCTCGCCACCCCAGCAGGGACAAGGCATTATGGAAAATGGATGGAAGGTGGCTGTCTTTTTGCATGATCCAAACGCTGATATGTAATTAATATAATTGGTTTGAAATATTTCTAGCTGTTCTGTTGGAGTCGAGTGACAAAAACGTTTCTTCAAGGTTGACCGTTTCCATGCAACCAATGTGTTAAATATGGATATTTTGTTCCAAACTCTCTAATAAAAGAAAGAAAAATATTTGGTTATCGTTTAAACTCTTAACAGGTTCACTGCAGAACCTACTTTCTGAAAATTTTATTGAGGTGACCCCACTCTGTTGAAAGAGGAAACAAGAAAAAATATCTCACATTTTAGAATCTTAAACATAATTCACATGATCAGGGGATTTTGAAAATTTATGTCACCATTTAATCACAATCCCCTGAATGAAACACAGATCAATAACATTTAAAAGCTAAAATCACTAAGGTGATACAGAGTTATTTGTCTAGAATAGTGGTCACCAAGGGGCCTTCAATGACCACATGGGGGCCCTTAGGTTGTTCTGAAACAGTGAACAAAGTTTGAAATGTTATTTTATTCTGTTGCTCTTCTTTTTTAATAATTTATA